TGAAAGTCTAAAATGCTGATTGGACATGCTGCACATGTGTGATTGAGGCTTGTCAACAGTGAGCTTCATTGTAGGGCTGTCTGGCAGGGCAGAGTTTGGGGGAATCATAACCTTAGTATTTTTAGGTCTCTCCTCTTCGGACGGTAGAATCCCCATCAAAGCTTTTTCCGATCTTCTGCCCAGGGGTAAAGACTACCAGCCTTCTGAGAGCCAAGCTGGAGAAGAGGGCTGGGAGTTCTTTACATTCAGTGTACATACATCCCCTTGATCTTCCTGTGAAGCTCGTCTGTCTTCAACTCTGCAGGGTAACTCTGTATTTTATTCTCTCTAGAGAATAAACGTTCAGTCTTTTGATGTGGTAGGTGAGACTCAGTTGCCTAATAGTACACTGGGTACATTCTCTAGAAATGGAATTGCTTCTTAAAAAGCTTTAGGTAATGCTTATTTAATCCCCTCCCCTTTACCTTTGCTTCCAGTTACTGAGTCTTTTAGAACATTGTGCACTTTGGAGGCCAAGGCGGGCGGATCACCTGAGGTCCAGCCTGACCAACCTGGTGAAACCCCGTCTTTAAAAAAAAAAAGAAAGAAAGAAAAAAAGAACATTGTGAAAAATGCAGATGCTCCCTGACTTACAATGGTTCAAGACCAGCCTGACCAACATGGTGAAACCCCGTCTTTAAAAAAAAGAAAGAAAGAAAGAAAAAAAGAACATTGTGAAAAATGCAGATGCTCCCTGACTTACAATGGTTCAGTTTAATGACTTTTTAACTTAATGATGGTGCAAATGCAATATATTGAGTTCACTCCTCAGAGTAAGAATGGGTACATCCTGATACCCATCATAAGTTGATGGATGGTTGCCCATCGTAAGTTGAGAATATCCTAAATTGAAAATGCGCTTTCCACCTATAACATTTTTAACTTATGATGAGTTTATTGAGACATAGACATATTGTAAGTCAAGCAGCATTTGTATCAGCTTGATTTCTGGTTTAGAATTTGACTTTCTTATTTATGTAATTCCATTACCACTTGACCATATGCTTCCCAGCTTCCAAAATTATATTGCTGCTGTCTCCTCTCCTATTCCCTCTGTCATTATGGATATACAACTTTGAAAACAATTATTTTGCTATCATTTTAGATTAATTTTTGGATGAAAGAAAGTAAATATGTGTGTTTCAGCTATCTCTTGAACCAGAGATCATTTACCTCACCTATGCAGTCTCACATGCATGATTTTAAGTTCACTTCCAAATGTAAAGTTTCATAGTCTTGTTTCACAATAACAAGCTTTTTGAAGCCATTCTTTATACTGATGACACTATGTGGGTTTAATGTACAACCCCCGGGGCAGCCCCTACCCCATCAACTCCAGCAAAGAATTATCTGCCCCAATATATGTGATTGTTGTAGAAGTTAAGAAACCCTGAATTGCTCCTTAATTTTAAATTCACGGTGGTATACATTTGTATCTAGTAGTACCCTCGTGATTACCTATACATATTTTATATTAAATGTAAAACCTCCCAGCTCCACAAAATTAATAATGGTTAAATAATAGTCATCTATTGAGCACTTGCTATGGTCCAAGCCTAAGGTAAAACATATGATTTGTGAAATACCACACTAAATATAAATCCTACAGCGATCCTGAGAAGCAGTGACATAGATATCTCTAAATGGATAATTATAATAACATTTTATGGCCTGGCACAATGGCTTACACCTGTAATCCCAGCACTTTGGGAGGCCAAAGCGGGAGGATCATCTGAGTTCAGGAGTTCGAGACCAGCCTGGCCAACATGGTAGAACCCCACCTCTACTAAAAATACAAAAATTAGCTGGGTGTGGTGATGCATGCCTGTAATCTCGGCTACTAGAGAGGCTGAGCAGGAGAATCACTTGAACTTGTAAGGTGGAGGTTGCAGTAAGCAGAGATTATACCATTGCCCTCCAGCCTGGATGACAAAGTGAGAATCCATCTCAAAAAATAGAAAAATAAAATAAAATAACATTTGACTTTAATAACAGCTGAGTATCAGGACAATACACATGTTTTATGATGTTCTTGACTTTAACAACTTGCTATCTTGCAATGTCTATTAAATTCTGCTTTGAAATACTCTCACAATTTCCTCCATTTCTCTTTTCTCCTGCCACCATTACTCTACTTTGGGCCACCACAAATTCTTCTGAATTAGGCAAACACCCTCCTTATTCATCTCCTGCTGTTGGTAGTTACTATGCCCTGTAAACCTGCCATTTTCTTTCTAAAATCTAATTGGGCAATAACATTCTTCTAAGCAAGATCTCTTAATTGCTCCCCAAGGCCCTCATGATCTGGCTTTGACTCCACTCTATCTCCCTTCACTCCCCCTCACCTTCACAAACAGTGCAATCTTATAATCCCAATAATCATGGTCCAAGGATGTTCATGCTTATGGGAACACTATGATTCTATAATCAAGGTCAAACTGTCAGATTTTTTAGTGTTCAACTTGTTTTAATGAGCAGTGCAAGAGAAATTAAAGTCTTAGCTAATGAGTAATGTTCTGTTAATGTGTGGTTGGCAGGTAATTGGAACAAGAGAGAAGAAAAAGTCATGATTTCCACTGGCGTTCCTTTCCTATGCTGATGTCAAGTGTGGCTCTTATTAAAGCAGGGAGTGGTGACAGGAAGAAAAGAAGGCAGTGAATTGCTGCCAGGAGGCCAGTTGGAAAAGTTAGAAAGGGATAAGGGGCCAACAGGGACACTCACCTCTGGCTGTGAATGGTTTCTCCTACCTTGGGGAAACATGGCATCTCTCATGACATAACAAAACGTGGGGCGATTACTGGTGGCCCTCCAGAAGGAATGCTGGCATAATTTGGAGGAGTCTGTGAACAATCAGATGAATAGCACATGATATGCCTTTTATAGCTTCATAATTTGTGAATGTTGCCAGTATAAAAACAAAGCAAAGCAAATTCATCAAATAAGTCAGTTTTTAAACTTTGAATACAAATCTAAGACAGCTTTTCTGAGATTTGAGAGGCGCATGAATAAAATGTCCAATAAATCTTCACTAAGTCAGATGGGTTGGCATCCATTTTCTGAATCTGTTCATTAATGAGCAAAATAGTTTTATTTAACTAATAATAATAGTTCCTGGCCGGGCATCGTGGCTCACACCTGTAATTCCAACACTTTGGGAGGCAGGTGGATCAGCTGAGGTCAGAACTTTGATACCAGCCTGGCTAACATAGTGAAACCCCATCTCTACTAAAAATAAAAAATTAGCTAGGTGTGGTGGCATGTGCCTGTGGTCCCAGCTACTCGGGAGGCTGATGTATGAGAATTGCTTGAACCCAGGAGGTGGAAGTTGTAGTGAGCCGAGATCACACCACTGCACTCCAGTCTGGGTGACAGAGTAAGACTCCATCTCAAAAAAAAAAAAAAAATAGTTCCTACGATAAGCTTTAGAAAACACACAAAAAAAATGAATTTACAATCAGGAACATATATTTTTGTATATATAAAGTACTAAATACTTGATCAATAACTCTTTCATGAGAATCTTTTCCTTGCTAGATTCTTTGTTAAATAGTGAAGGTATCATTCTTACATTTAACTTACCTGCAGTTCTGAGAACATAACTGCATCTCCTCTATGGCTCTACCATGTCTCATCTTCATAATGTAAATACGTCTTATAAATTTGGTTGATGTTATAGAGTCAATATTTAAAAAAAAAATAGGAGCTCTCCTTACAGGGTACCAGAATGATTTCTGACATACAGTTCAGCATATTATGTATATAGTACCTAACGGTTCATTTGAGGGATTGAGACAGTACTTTTACTATTTCCATTCATATGTAATTTTGAATTTAACCTTAAAAGTAAGGTGCAATTTCTTCACTATATCGTTAAGAGAGTTGGGAGGTAGAAAAGATGAGATGCTGAAGAAACATGGTTCCTTTCCTTAAGGAACACACAAAACTCTAATGTTCAAGTGATTAACTGTACATGTCAAAATAAGCATTTGGGATGGTCAAGAAAATGGAGGTTCATGAGCATAGGAGTTACCAGGAAAGGTTTTGTGAAAAAGGATGGACTGTGACTGATCAACAGGTTTATAGTGTGCCCTGCTCTCTAATTGCAGATGGTATCTGGTTAAGCTGTTAGCACTGGGCCTGATCTGGCAGAGCTGCCTCCTGTGTATATTCAGATTGCAGAGCCCTTGGCTAAACTGATATCTGTTTACCAGAAGGGCAGAGATCTAGAGGAGATGGTTATAGGCGAGGCCATAAAGAAAGAGTCCAGGATTAGACCGTCACTCAGGAAATCTGAGTCGAAGTGCTGAAGCAGGTAGAACTTTAGAGAAACAAAAAATGGGTCAAAACAGAGCAAAAAGACAGCAGAGAGATACAAGGAGATCAACCCTTGGTCTCAACAGATTTCTGGAAGTAAAAATGTACTGCGGCCGTCCACTCATACGGTTTAGTATGCCTTTCTGGCCTAGGGCTAATCCTTAAAAGTAATTTCAAGTGTACCAAGAAGAAAAGAGATGCAGGCAAACAGAAATCTTGACTCCTACAGATGCAAAAACGGCCTTGGCATAATGGAAGGAGAGAGCCCTTGGCACATGATAATATTATAGGGTGGATATGTGGTGCCAGATCCAGTGAGACTATGTGAAGCAGAAGTAGAAATATTGTTAGAGCAAAAGGGCTACGCCAGGTGGCAGAGGTTTTGAAAGCCAGGCAAGTGAGCTTGGCTGAGATGTGATAAGAGAGGTTTAAGTTGGCTAAAAAATATTCTTTTTATCACATTCTCCTAAAAGACAATCCACATGTAACTTGGCCAAACCAAAAGGTCACAAATAATAATAGTAAAGGTCAAACTTGTAGCTTATTATAATGAAATATATATTATTTATGTATATCATATTATTTACATTTCTGTAATATATACAGTTATTATAGAGAGTATATTGTTCTCTAACTCTCCTTTTTAGCTCCATGGAATAACATTTCTAACTAGAAACTATTGTCTGACAGAACTATATCTAAACAACAATGCAATATTTGAGATAGAAGGTATGTCTTAAATTTTCTGTTGATTTAATAGATTTTCTATTAAGTAATAACTTTTAACTATGGTAATTGCTAATGACATACAAAAATCTGTTTTAACATTTCTCTTGAAATATATTATGAAATCTATTTTTCAAATGTTTTAATGTCCATTTTAAGAAATGTGCTATTAGATTACTTTTCTAATTTAATATTGCTATATGTCTTATTCAAAATGTAAAATAATTCTTAACAGTTATTTCAGATATAAACTAGACATATGGAAGCAAGTTTTAACAATAGTTGGGAGCATTAATAAATACAAAAACTTCATAAATAGTCCTAAAATTTTTTATTGGCTATTGTTCTACCAGTCAAATTCCTGCTTTCACTCTGAGTTAATTTTATATGTAACACACTCTCAAAATTGATCATTTCAAGCCAGTTATAAAAGCATATAGCACACTATGATCATGAAATACAGAGGTACAGTACAAAACACTTTTCTTTAATACCTTATCATAGAATCAAAATGTCATAAATTTTAAGGCCCATCATGATTTCATGCACCACTAAGAAAGAACATCTTGCCAATGAAGGTATAACATGGCTGTCAAAAAGACACATCCCATTTTCATTTATGTTAAAAATGTGGGAAAATATACAATTTAGAATCAATGAAAATGATATGAATATTCGGCTTCCAGTTATGTACAAAAAATACTTTGCTAAGCAATATGGAGGAAATTTTTCCCTTGACTGGCAATATAAATCTAAGTAAGATTGACAAGGAACAAAAACCTCAAAACCAAACAAAAAGAAGTAAGAAAATAATCCCTCCAAAATCACTCAAGCAAACAAAATCATTGCTATGTTTTAAAAAGTAAAACAATAACAGTGGAAAGAAATTTACTCTATATTCCCACTTTGCAATTAATTGTATGACTTATACCTTACTTTATTCTTAATAATAATTTGTAATATATTATTAGTATTTATTCATTTTTTAACCAGCAATCATGTTTTCCTTTTTAGTTAGCACATTAGTTAGCATTAAAAAATGTTTATTTTTATTTGCAGTAAAAAAAAATTGAAAAAAACGTTTAAAATCTTGTAAAAATTTTTGGTTTTTTTTTTCAGGCCTGCATTATTTGCCTTCATTGCATATACTCCTGCTACACCACAATGAGTTAACCAACCTTGATGCGACAGTGAAAGAATTAAAGGGAATGCTAAATCTGAAGATCCTAAGTAACAATTTGCGCTTTTATATGGCCATAAATTAAAATAGTATTAACATAAGACATTTTTTCCATTTATCAAGTTTAAAATTAGAGAAGCAATGTTTACAATTAAGATATTTAGGCCGGGCACTGTGACACACGCCTGTAATCCCAGCTCTTTGTCAGGCTAAGGTGGCCTGATCACTTGAGCCCAGGAATTCAACACCAGCCCGAGTAACATGGCAAATCTCTGTCTCTACCAAAAATACCAAAATTAGCCAGGTGTGGTGGCACATGCCTATAATCGCAGCTACTCAGGAGGCTGAGGCAGGAGGATCACTTGAACCCAGGAGGCAGAGATTGCAGTGAGCAGAGATCACGCCCCTGGATTCCAGTCAGGGCAACAGATTGAGACCCTGTCTCAAAAAAAAAAAAATTAAGATATTCCTGAAAATAAGACTAGATCTTACTGTCTTTTAAGACAAGGTTTTGAAAAAACAAGAAGTAGAAAAATTTGTGTGTGTGAAATGCTATCTATCACATGTCTAATGAAAATCAACAAAAGTAACAAAAGCATTTACATGTTTAAATTTGTTTTTGGTTTTATCTCACAAGTAAGTTTTAACACATATTATATGAGTCCATTTATATAAGCGCCCAAGTAGGTACATCTATAAAGACAGCAACATAGAGAGATAACTGTTTTTAAATAGATGAGTGTTGCCTAGGGCCAAGGTATTGGGGGTTGTGAAAGCTAGAGGGTAAGGAGTGTGGGGTTATTTGGGGGGTGATAAAATGTACTAAAGTTGACTTTGGTGATAAGTTGCATAACTGTGAATATACCACAAACACATGAAGTGTATTTTTAAAATGGGTGAATTGTGTAGTACATGAAGTATATTAATTAAGCTGATACCAAAAAAATAAACAAATAAATACAAACTAAAAGACTTTTTAAGCTTTCAACTGGGTAACCAGCAAATTTTATTCATATATATTGAATCATACCCAGTAAGGAACTCACCTATTGGAAAGCAGTGTGAAATGAGTCAAAAAAAAAAAAAAAAAAATAGCCAGACACAGTGGCTCACACCTGTAATCCTAGCACTTTGGGAGACCGAGGTGGGTGGATCACAAGGTCAGGAGTTCAAGACCAGCCTGGCCAACATGGTGAAACCCCATCTCCACTAAACATATAAAAATTAACTGAGTGTGGTCTGCTCGGGAAGCTGAGGCAGGAGAATCGTTTGAACCCGGGAGGTGGAGGTTGCAGTGAACTGAGATCGTGCCATTGCACTCCAGCCTGGGTGACAGGGCAAGACTGTCTCAATAATAATAATAATAATAATAATAATAATATACCACTCCTGCTCTCAAAAAGCTTATGATCTTGAAGGGTAAATAAGCATGTATACAATCACAATACAAGATAAAGGATTTTGGGTACTAAAAGAGACCTGCAGATCAATGAGTAGGATTTCAGACTTTAGAGTTCAGAGACCTCTTTATATAATGTAATGCAATAGGTTTTCTTAAAAATTCCTTTTCTATTTATTACTCAGATTTGCCTGAGACAGTGTTCTGAATAGTTGTAAACTACTATTGATGGTGAAGGTTCTAATCAGATCAATATAGAGAGTTACTAAGGTTTCCATATGTTTTCAGTGTTATCGGTTATGTATTTTCAGTGTTATCAGTTATGCAGCGGTTTCCATATATTTTCAGTATTATCTACTGTAATGAGGGAAAATGATTCATTTGTTATAGTTAGATTCTTTAAACCCAACTATTAAAATCACAAAATTACACCAAGTTCATGGCAATTTTATCCTTATTTTAGAGACAAGATAAGACTGCCTGCTGTCAGGAGGTTTTCACAGGTTTTGGATCTTCTGTGAAAGAATTGGCCTACATATTTGAGTTACCTGGCCCTTGTCTGCTGAAAAAATGCTGCTATAATTAAAAGTCTAGTCATGCTAGACCTAGATCTCTTACCTTTGTTTTTCTATAAAATGGGCTGACGTAGCTGTCAGGGCTGACGTAGCTGTAGCTCTCAGGATTGCTTCAAACATTAAGATAACACTGTAAACACCTTTTAAGAAAACATTTCTCATCATTAATGTTATTTTGAAGCAACAACAAAAATTGAAATTTTTAAAAAAACAAAAAAATTGTTTTATTGTGAATTATGTAAATCAGATAATGAAATAAGTTGCATCCAGTCTTGAAATTCTCAAGAAAACATAACTGATATTTTAAATAATAATCACATAGTGACATGTTCGAATGTCTTTCCTATTGAAACAAATGTTTTGTTATATTCTCATTTAAATCTTTATAGCATCCTATGACGTGATTAGAATTATGCCCTCTTCAATCATGGAAATGCAAAGCTCAGAGATTTAACCAAACTCTTAAGGAATGGTGAAACATTAACTCATGCCCCATTTTACTTATCATTTATTCATTCATTCCATTCATTCAATAAATATTTATAATTCATTCATTCATTTAATAAATGTTTATCGCACATTCACTATATGACTCTATACTAGAAATAGGACTCAAAGTTGAGCAAGAAAGACCCAGTCTATACCTATATAGGGCTTACAAATTTATAACTTTCAGCCTAAATATTTCTTAGAGAGTTGAAGTAGTTTGATGCAAAATGATATAATTTGCTATTTCAAAAACTCGATAATTTAAGCAAATTTGTTATAAAACAAACATTTGGAGAATAGTAAACAAGCTTGCTCCCATAGTAATAAGCAGGGTTACGCCCATAGTAATAAACAGGGTTATGCCCCAAACAAAGGTGCCCAGCCCAGGATCAAATGAATCCTGAAACCCAGCCCATTCCCTACTTGTCAAGGGTGTATGTGAGCACAGAATTGTGCCAGGCATGAGGAGTGGGAGTGGATATTTCTAGTTTTTTAATACCAGCCTGGTAGTATAATGTCCATATCATTACCCGTCACAACAGTTTACAACAACTACTTAAAATTATAGTGACATAATTCAAGTTATATAACTATAATTTTCCAGTTGAGAATCTTGTGGGGTCATTTGTTTGAAATGGAGAAAATTCTATGTCAAATTACAAAAACAAAAAGCATTTTCTGAAGGTTCACATTTTGAGCACATGTCCCATTTTGGTTAAAGATATTGTATGAAAAATAGTTTGTGGCCGGGTGAGGTGGCTCAAGCCTGTAATCCCAGCACTTTGGGAGGCCGAGGCGGGTGGATCACGAGGTCAAGAGATCGAGACCATCCTGGTCAACATGGTGGAACCCCGTCTCTACTAAAAAAAAAAAAAATTAGCTGGGCATGGTGGTGCGTGCCTGTAATCCCAGCTACTCAGGAGGCTGAGGCAGGAGAATTGCCTGAACCCAGGAGGCGGAGGTTGCGGTGAGCCGAGATCGCGCCATTGCACTCCAGCCTGGGTAACAAGAGTGAAACTCCGCCTCAAAAAAAAAAAAAAAAAAAAATAGTTTGTATTTATTAGAAAACTAATGTTATTTGTGCAGTCATGTTCTCAGATTGACTTTCTATGAGCCTCATTTGCAATCATAGATTAGTTTCAGCTCATTAATATGAGAAATCCATGTATTTTAGATTGTTGTCATTTTTGTCTTTTTAGGTTTTAAATTCATATGAAAATATAAAGTGTTGTTATTAATCCTCTTAAATTACAAGTTCTTCAGAGGGTGAGAAAATAGCCTGAAGGATAAAATGCTAATCCATTCTCAGCATTGCACCCTCTGTTGGCATTTATGAGGAGAATTGCCAAGGATTGCCTAAGAGGCTCATGGCTGAGAGCTTTAGGGAGGCCTAAACCAGCTGCAGAGTGTGAGGTCCTGGGAACTGGAATTCCTGTCTTCCGGGGCAGAGTCAGGGGGCCCCACCTCTTGTCTCCAGGCGGTCTACCTTTCCACACCCTCCCTTTCCAGCTCTGTTTTCCTTGTCTCTTCCCTCCTCCAAACCCGTTCTAAATCAGAATCCACATATGTCAAAGACCCACTTTGTGGCTGATGGCTTTCATTAATTCCTCCCCCATTTCCAGTACTAAGGGAAAAAAATCCACCACCACCAAAACCCACAGCAACAAAATGCTTAATCCATTTTCCTGTTCTAAACCTTCAGTTTCCTCATTTCTCTCTAATTTTCTGTTTTATTAAGCTCCACTGTTGAAAAGCATGCATAAGACTCCTGCATGCCATAATTGTTAAGACCTGCTTCCTACCAGAGCTTCCAGGAATCAGCATTGGGAACAGGGAGCTCCTCCTTTCGAGAGAGGATCTCCATGTTTCCGCAGGTATTGCTTTCAAACGTTGTCTGCCTTTCTCTTTAGCAGTGGCCCCAATCCACTGCCAATGGCAAAAGTCATGGGTGTAGGGGGATGCTGGGAGATGGGGTGGGACTAGGATCTTCAGTGTCTCTTCCTTTGAGCCTCTCCTACAATGCCCTTATAGGGCATTACAGGAGACAAACCAATCCACCAAAGAAAAAGAACCAACAGTGTTTTTCACCCCTGTTTGTCCTGAAAAAGAGAATGTTCTGATCCCTCCTTTCTCAATCCTCTGCTCTATCCCAGTTTGCCTTTTACAATCAGGGGTGATTTCCATATTCGGTAAAAAGCACATATTGTGTGTAGTGGCCCCCAGATTTTTAGTAAAAACAAGATGATAATTAACAATGGAGATGCTGACCTTACTACGCAACCTTGACCCAGAGCCTCACAATCCTGGCATCTCATTATGGACAGCTGCACTTCCTTCCACAGGCTGTTCTCTATAGGCTTTTAACATTCTCCATATCATTTTCTTTTCCCCATGTATTAAAATTGGGATGTTGGTCCTTTATTAATCATGTCAACTTTCTTCAAAGGCAGTCTTAAAAGCATGGGGGTTCATTTAAATAACAATTTTAAATTCTGCTTTAAAAGTTTACAAAAAAGTAACTGGAGCCAGTTATTTAGATGTCTTTTTTTTTCCTCTTCTGTCTCAATAATAAGTAGCTTCATACACATGACTCACGTAAATCAAGCTTGTGTGGTAAGGTACTAGAGACATTTTGGTATATCATTGTGTAAATGTAAATTGCTTAGACTCAGAATCCCAAATTAAGATAAGCAAGACAGTGCTGGCGCCACTGAGGTGTACTCTGTAAGTAGCCTAGAGGGAAGGTGGATTAAATAGTATTAACCTATTGAAAGTGAAAGTGTAAGCAATTTCACTTCATAGTTTCTAAAAGAATGTGCTCATACATCATAGAAGTCTTTCAGAACATTCAGACACAGGAAACCAATTTCACCTCTTAGACATTTAATTTATAGCGATTTTAGTAGCATCAAGCCAAAACTCATAAATCCAAAATGTTAAATGTTTAATAGCATAGAAGGAAAAAAGAGTTAAAAATAAGATTGCTTCCTTCTAAAATTTAAGATCTGGGAAACAGTGAAAAATAATGATGAAATGCCTTTCAAGTTATTTAATTCAATTTTTAAAAGTTAATTCAAGCAGAGGCTGGGCTAACAGCTCAGTTTTCTGATTTTGTGTCACTCAGTTTTTACTTTAGGATGAAATGAATGGTCAGCCACAAGTCAATAGAGTTTTTAGTATCAATATGTTGTTAATAAGTAATGGAACAGTCGTAAATCCAAGTTTGGTGTTTTATTTAGCTGAAGCTAGGTTTTGGATTTCCATATAGAAGTTACTTCACCAAGGATTTGCAGAAAAAGCCAAGAAATTAAATGAAATGGATAGTTACATCCTCAGAGGGAAAAGAAGACGAAGGGTACACCTAGAGAAAACGTCATTGAAAGATGTTGGTACATTTTCCATTAACATCATATGTAAAGGCCTACTCTACTTCCAGATGCTATAATGTATAACAGGGTTATGAGGTGTCAGATGTCATTCCCCAAGACAGTAACCACAAAGCAGACTTCTGTACTAAAGCATTTGTCACTTTTTCTTCCTCCTAAGTTCTCATTGAAAACAACTGTGCTTTGCTTTTCATCCTTGAAGGATTTCCTTTGCTTTACTTTCTCTGGCTCAATCTACAATTCATGATCCCTGTGGCTCTTTTAAAATCTATCCTTACTACTGGTCTAATATACGTGTGTTCTATTCCCTGTCCTGCAGCTATAATTATTTGTTACCACTTTAAAATCCTTCTCTTTTAAGAATAAAAATAAAATTCAGTCCATTTTCTGTCTCTTAAGAAATCTTGAAAAAGAAAATTGTTTTATTTGTCTTCTCATTTTCTCCATTACATACATATTTCCTTTCTTTTAAATTTCTTTGTGGCTCCTGGCTCTACATTTTCCTTTATGCCTGTTCTCACTTCTTTAACTTTAGTTTATTATGCACCAGGTGTCTTCCATTGCCTGCTTTATGTCCCTCTAAAGCTTGAGTTTTACACAGGGAATAGCTATATATGACACTTTTATTGGCCAGAAAAAAATTGTGTGTATACAACAAATATCAGAATGTTTTATTACTGCAGAAAAAACATCCAGATTATTGACTTTTTTTTAGTTTTTATCTAGTTTGCTATCTTTAAGCATGCAACCACCCCAATCTTATTTGTTACAAACTGCTCTTTAGAAATATTAATCAGGGTTGGTTTTTTTTTTTTTTTTTTTTTTTAGCATTTCTAATGCTTACTATTTTCATGCCTTTATCTAACCTGTTTGTATTTTCTGAATAGTCTACAACAGTACTCTTAAATTTAACAAGTACATTAAGTGAGCTTCATTTTGTTAAGGGAAGCAGTTGTACAGCTGGAGCTCTTTCTATTACTGCCATCTAGTGGTTCTCCTTATTAGATGTATTTTCCCAAGTATTTCCTAGAAATTTTATGTGGGTTGACAGAATTCGAAAAACTAAAGATTCCTGGCTGGCCGGGCGCGTGGCTCAAGCCTGTAATCCCAGCACTTTGGGAGGCCGAGGTTGCTGGAGGCGGGGCGGGGGGATGGGTTCGGGAGGTCAGAAGTTGGCCTCCCTATGTCGGCCAGGCTGGTCAAAAGGTCGAGACCAGCGTGGCCTACATAGGAAAACCCCGTCTCTACTAAAAATACAAAAAGTAGTAGGGCGTGGTGGCAGGCGACTGTAATCCCAGCTGCTCAAGAGGCTAAGGCAGGAGAATCGCTTGAACCTGGGAAGTGGAGGTTGTGGTGAACCGAGATCGTGCCATTGCACTCCAGCCTGGGTGACAAGAGCAAGACTCTGTCTCAAAAGAAAAAAAAAAAAAAGACGCCCAGCTGAAAATTTATAAAAGTTTTATTTCACGTTGTGTTAAAAAAAAAATGTTTATTATCATCTAGGATGAATAGGGAAAATATCTTTTTTTGAAAAAAAAAAAAAAAGCTGTTACAACTTCTATTTGAAGATGTTTAAAAACATACCTATGTGCTGATTCCTAAGGGATATGATGTCAGAAGTGCCAGGGCTGCTTCTGTATCCACATACTTCCCTCTTCCAACCACTGCATTAGGAAGTGTGATTTATTGCAAAAGCTAGCACCTGCACACCAAGATCTCAGAGCTGCAGGGGCCTGGCCAGAGGTAGACAAGATGCAAGAGCCACATCTGCTCAGCTCTGGTCCTGCTGAGCTCTGAAGCTACTATTGACCATTTTGAACTATGAGCAATGGTGCAGAGGAAGTAAATTCTATTAGAGCAGGGTTTTGTGTCTCTGCCTATCTTCACACATGCACCCTTGTAAACTTGAAGACTGAAAGAAGAGTACCAAGTGATATTTTAATAAAAAGTAGCCTCAAGACTCCAATAGAGCTGATATCTAGTTCTCCACTTGCTAATTTATTTATGAACATGTTAAAATTCCCCTTATTTTTGGCAGATTTGGGTTAATGATATGATCCTAGCCCTTAGCACTGTTCCTAGTAGATAGTAAGCACTTGGCAAACATTTGTTGAATACATGAATTTAACACACAGAAAAATTAACTGCTGCTCTAAGTAAAGGTTTAATGGGTCTATTGCTTGATATGAAGAAGAGCTTTACAAGTTCTTAGGTTTTAAATGAATCTTGCAATTTCTTGTATTTAATAAGTGATAAATGAAACCAATTTTGAAATCTGACATCTTATTTTGGATTCTTCATTTGCAGGTCTATACCAAAACCCTTTGTGCCAGTATAACCTGTATCGTTTATATATCATCTACCACCTTCCAGGAGTGGAGCTGCTTGATCGAAAACGTAAGGACCCTTCTTCCTTGAAAAGAAATATTTGGGAAGCAGTCTTATACCTCAGTGGTTTAAAAATGAAGACTACCTTTGAAAATACATCTTTGTAAAAAAAAAAAAAAAAAAAAAAAACTTTGAATAATTGTCTTTGTAAATGAAAGTTGTTCAATTATTTATTTTTGAAAGATCTGCTCTCTGAAATTTGCCCTAATTTAGAAATTCATGTCTCTCTACTACTTTATTAGAAAGGCCCTCTAACTGAGCATGAGGAAAGTGTTCCTTCTCATCCTGGTTTTGACATTAACCTGTTCGAAGCCAAATCATTTACCTCCTGGCACCCTAGTTTCTTATCTCAAAAGTGAGGGAATTAGAATAAATCTCATAAGGCATATTTAAGTTCTAAAAGTTATGCTTTTAAAAATTCTGTAAATATATATATTGAAACATATAATCAATGATTTCTTTTTGAATACATCTTCAAGATAGCATGTCTGACTTCTGTAAGCCACATGTACACACACACAACCAACCTCAGCATATTACACTTAAACATTTTTTGAGACCTATTTTGCCAAGTGCTATATTATCTATCTACTTACCTTTCTGTCTCCACAGGTTTGAACATTCTTAGTTTATTATTGAGTAACCACTTCCTCTGGGATACATCACAAACTTATGGTTATACCTCTTCTTTCTAATAGACTTGAGGAAATGAAAGGATGTATCATGCTAAAATTTTAGTCATCCATGGTGATGTGTTCGTAGGTGTTTGGGATGCAATAGACTGAAGGATTAAGCTCCGCCTGTGACATGTGGGGTGTATATTGCTTATAAGGTTATGGAAATAACTGTGATAGCCCCTTTACAAAACAATTTTGACAGGATGTTCACCTATAACATAGTTCAGATAAATACATTCTGGAAAGTGTCCGTTCTATTTTGAATCACTATGCCTATTTATAATGCTATGCAGTAACATTACTTTTTGCATTTATCAGAAGTTACAGAAAAAGAAAGAAGATCAATGATTACCATTTTTAACCATAAAAAGGCTCATATTGTTCAATCAATAGCATTCGGAGGAAAAGTAGATGCATCATGGGATCCTAAATCACCATTTAAGCAAAAACCAGCCCAAAGAGTACCTTCAGGTATTTTGCAAAAAAAAAAAAAAAGTCATGAAATTTAAAACTCTTCAAACTTTTGGGTAATTTAATTATAATAATAACTACAATTTACAATAAAGTTAAGTATCTATATAATGGAATAATTTCTAATATACTTGCTAACTTTATAATACTTTTAGTCCAGTTAAAGTAGGTGTTAAATTTTCATCCTCACTCATGCATGTTAAATTAAATGAGGTGCTGTGATAATAATGAGATAATACATTGAAGCCTCTACCCCATTATCTAACACAGTATAAAGGGCTCAATAAATAAGCTATCATTACTTTTTTATGACTAACATGGATGATTTTACCAATTAAGTTTATATAATTTTTGATAATATAGAAAAAATATGAAGAAGAAATAAAGATCATCTGCAATTCTGCCATCCAGAAATAAGTACTGGTAATATTTTGATTATACTCACATACAGGGTCATTATAGGCAAGTATTAACTTGTATATTTTCAGGATGTTTCATTAGTAAGAATTTAATTTCTTTTTTTTTCTTTCTTTTTTTTTGGAATTTACTTTCTTATTTGTGACAGAAATGCAAAGAAAAAGAATTGGGGTTTAGTTTTCTCAGACAGCAAAGAATACACAGATAGGGTGTCCAGGGTTAGTATAAAGTTCTATGATGTCGTCAGTGAGCAAGGGTCCATCTGTCTTTTATTCTGCTACTGTTAGTGTGCTTTATGATTACAAAGTGGCTAGTATACCACCAAGCCTCACATCTTCATTCCAAGAAGGAAGAGAGCATGGATGAAAAAAAGATTCAAAGGCAAAATCCTTTTCTTCATGACACTTTGCCAAAGAGACAATATATCTTTTAAAAGAACCAAATCAATTATCTAGAAATAAAGGGGAAATTGAATTGAAAAATAGTTTGGAAGAAATTACCCAGAATGCTACATGGAGAAAGAAAGTGATAGATATGAGTTAGATATTGAGAAAAGGAGAGACATTAGAAAGAAAGGGTCCAAAAGAGTAGTAGTAATTCCTGAAAAACAAATTATACAGAGAAATTGAACAGAAGGTAATATTGACGCTTTGCCTCTTTATTTAAGAAGGACAGATCTTCGAAGACCTGTCCTTCTTAAATAAAGGACTTATACTTCATCTGTCATTTCCAACTACAGTGTAAATTGGAAAATCAATGTATTGCAGAAGGACTTAAATGTTTCAGTAGCAGACATCATTACATTTCATTCCTGTCAACCTAAAAAAAGACATCAGAGAAAAATATCTCTTAAGATAATGAATTTATTTGGGAGTAAGCAAAAAGAATTATAACTCTGGATGTACAGGCAAGCCTCTGCAAGAGAGGAAGGGAATGGAAGGAAGCTTTTTATTTGGCAAAAAGCGGCTGGATGCAATGGCTTACTCCTGTAATCCCAGCACTTTGGAAGGCCAAGGCAGGCAGATCATTTGAGGTCAGGAGTTTGAGACCAGCCTGGACAACATGGCGAAAACCAGTCTCTACTAAAAATGCAAAAATTATCCAGGTGTGGTGGTAGCACCTATAATTCCAGCTACTTGGGAGGCTGAAGCAGGAGAATTTGCACCTGGGAGGTGGAGGTTGCAGTGAGCCAACATCATGCCACTGTACTCCAGCCTGGGCAACAGAGCGAGACTCCATCTCAAAAAAAAAAAAAAAAATAGTTCACATAAGCCTCTTGGAAGCACAGTTCATTGATTCCAGAGGCCCAAAGCCACGACTTCATTGGTGGAGATTCTGTTACTAGGCAAATGTTCTTTTGACAGGATCTTATCTGAATTGTTGAGTCCTAAAGAGTGTGTAGTGATAAACCTGGTCATATTAGTGTGTGCATACATGAGAAATGTAGGTCATGACAAACATGAGATGTGTGAAGGACATGAAAGCATTTATTGTGGGGTTATTTTGGAATACCCTTGAGATAGGTCTTATCTCAGACATGGAAGCATAAGCTCTCCTCCTTACCGCCTCAAAACAAACAAACAACCACATACACATTGAAAAAGTTGTATACTATAAAGTAATAACAAAATTAGAATTTTGTTAACAAACAAATCTCTATGTATATGTGTGAGTACATGTGTGACATATAGGCTGGAAAAATACAAACAAAAATTTTAATAGTAATATTAATAGTAATAAGAGGAAGTGGAAAGGTTAAAGGGAAATTTTCCTTTTTACTCATTATTTTATTTATTGTTCATATTCATTAGAAGTAAAAAATGTACTTTTTGTAATTAAAAATATAGAAGAGAACAGGGAAATTCTGTCATTTTATGACAATATGGATGAAACTGGAGAGCATTATGCTAAGTGAAATAAGGCAGACACAGAAGAACAAATACTGCATGATCTCACTTATATATGGAATCTAAAATATTCAAACTCATAGAAGCAGAGAGTAGAATGGTGGTTTCCAGGTGCTGTGGGGAAGGGGAGATGGGGAGGTGTTAATCAAAAGGCACAACTGTGTTACACAAATGAATAAATTCTGAAGATCTTATGCAATAAGACTACAGTTAGCCATATTATATACTTGAAATTTACTAAGAGGGTAGATCTTAAGTGTTCTCACCACGTACACACAAAAAAATGGCAACTGTCTGGCTAATGAATATGTTAATTATATTGAGTGGGCTAATTATTTCACAATGATCACAATGAATACGTATATTAAAACATCGTGTTGTAAACCTTAAAGACATACAGTTTTTATTTGTCAATTACACTTTAATAAAGCTGGGAGAAAAATATAGAAACAGAAAGAAGCTACAATGATCAGAAACACACTGAGAGACTTTCATCAGCCACTTGTGAAGGGAACAATGCCATGAATTCTAAGGCAGAGAGGCTGTGTGCTCGCTGCTGCTTGTGGAATGGCAAGAGCTCATACTGTGGGCTTTATTGGTGCAACAGATGCTGGTAAACTCCATCTCTAGACGGACACTAGGCTTTCTGGAGAGAAATCAACAAAGCAATGACAGTATCTGGAAGACATCATAAGAAATCCAGGTTTTGAGGACTCATCTTGGAGCTTCACAGCTAGGAACGTCTAGATTCTTGTGATCTAGTATTTGTTTACTCTGTTTCTTTGAAGTTAATGCCAAAAATCCAAATGGTTAAAATGTTCGTAAATATTTCTCATTTGGACTTTTAGTTCATTTATAGATGCATGTGCCTTTCAGAAGAAAAGAGATTGGTTTCTGCATATCAGCCTCAGTATCTTAATTATTAAAAATTCCCACTTGGATTCCATTGGTACATTATTAATTGACTAAGCTTTCTGTTCTCAGGGTTTTGAGATTTGTATTGTATTAAAAAATTTGTCTCAAAACCTAAGGCAAAACCCAATATATCTAAGAGAAAGTTTCAGTTCAGTGTTTGATAAAAAGGCATTTTTGACAGATTGAACTATTTGTGTAAAGGATAGCTTGAAAACAGAATACTTTTCCTTTATAGCATTGTTCCATTGTTTTTAAATACTGAATAAATATTTTAAAATTCTAACTTTAAAATGTATTTTTTTTTAGATTTTGCATTTGCAAATAATGTAGACAAGTAAGTAATTTTATCTATACTTTTATTATATTATTTCATAATTGCATTATCCCTTTAAATCATCTCTGTTTCCTAAAATACATTTTAATGAATTTAAAAAATGACTCACTCTTCAATAGATGAGAAAAATTCCTAGGTCTTTCTGTGATAAATGAGTTCAAGCTCTGTATTCATATTTGACATATTTAGACTATTAATATTACTATGGAAATCCTGAAGAAGTAAAAAGATAATTCGATGCTTAAAAAAATAAAGCTTGGTCAAGTGCAGTGGCTCACACCTGTAATCCCTGTACTTTGGGAGGCCAAGGTGGGTGGATCACCTCAGGTTAGGATTCCGAGACCAGCCTGGCCAACATGGTGAAAACCCGTCTCCACTAAAAATATAAAACATTGGTTGGCCCTGGTGGCAGGCGCCTGGTGGTAGGCCCAGCTACTCGGGATGCTGAGGCAGGAGAATTGCTTGAACCTAGGAGGCAGATGTTGCAGTGAGCCTAGATTGCGCCACTGCACTCTAGCCTGAGCGACAGAGTGAGACTCTGTCTCAAAAAATAAAAATATAAAAAATAAACCTTCACTATTAGCTATTCTGAAAGTCAGGTTTTACATTCCTTGTTTAGTTATTCTCTAAATATGTCCAGTCATAGTGATTATCATGTAGATTAACATTTTATACTCATTGGAATTTCCATTTCCAAAAGCAAGCACCTCACTATGGAAGACTTTTCAAATTCAGGAATACTGATGAATTTAAAGTCATCATTTTTTTTTATTTTTTCATTTAAGATGTTTTTCTTTAGATACAGTATTGAATATTATCTCTATGTACATTTATAAAATATGGTATAATATAAAAAATAACAGCAATACAATGAATTTAAGATAATAATATGCATATATCAATAACTCTTTTAACCATCCCTTTTAACTTGCTTTTAAAATGTTACTACATGAGTATGTGAGACCTAAAGGTAATAGTTGATCCCCAAATATGTTCAGATACCTTATTTATAAAATAAACAATATATACTATAAAAAGTGCCACTTACCCTGAAAGTCATTTGTCAGTGGAGCCTACAAATTATTTGTTAGTGGTACAATACTGCAAATAACACAGAAAAACATAGCATTAATTCATTTAAATAAAAATTTTATTTTGACCAAATTTTCATTTTGATTGATTTTTTTTCTGACATAATTGCCATTTTTGCAGAACTGTGTTTGATGACCCAGAAGATGCTGTTTTTGTCAGGTCCATGAAGAGATCAGTGATGACTTTTTCCTCTATGAACTGGGACACAGTTCCAACACGAGAGGAAAGATACCTTGAAGAGGAAGGCACAGAACCTGCTCAGATGCTCACAGTTACACTGAGATAAGCCCTGGTATTTCTAGAAATCTTAGTGGTTTTCAGTTGTATATTAAAGTTCCCTGTGACTTAGCATATTACATACTTAACTATGATATTATTTGAGACATTTAAATGTAAACAGAAACACCAGTGATGAAAAGTAATTCCTACATTTTAGGCTTTTAAACGTAAAGTTGTTGAAGTAAAAATGTATACAGAAATGTATGTAATTCCTAAGTGTTCAGCTCAAGCGGTTTTCAAAAATTGAACATGTTTATGTAACTACCATTCTAGATCAAGAAATAGAACATTATCAGGACTCTAAAAGCTCCCTCCTTCCTGTGTTAGTCACTACTAAGCCTTCCAAAGTAATCACTGTCCTGATTCTAGACAATAAATTAATCATGTCTGACTTCAAAAGCCATATAAATGGCATCTTAGAAGTAAATATTTTGTATCTGGCTTCTTTCGCTTGACATTGTAAGATTCATCCATGTCTTTGCTAGTAGCAATGATTCTATCAGTCTTACTCTTGTATAGTATTTCATTGTAAGACTGTGACACAGTTAACTTATCTAGTGTACTATTTTTTACTCTCATCTCTGGAGATATTTGCCAGTTCTGGCTAATGACCTGGGCTTGGTGTAGCCAGAAACTTGCTCCTCAGGGGAAAAAAACAAAAAATCCAATACTTTTAGCAGTTGCCTAGTACTGAGGGACAAAAGTGGACATTGAAGGTAACTCAAATTCATTACTGGTTTTCCCTGACTAAGGAGCTAGATAAAAAGCTTACAAAAGGCAGAGTGACATCTCCCTCTAGCTGATGGTGCTTGGGAAACACAGACACACTGTGGAAGTAGACTGGATTCAAAATAGGCAAGAGATGAAAGCCTAGAAGGAATAGTGAATTGACATTGAGAATCTACAGCCTTCATTCAACTGTGGATACTTATCATAATGTGCACAGACAGAGGCTAAAAATTCAGATACGGTCCCTGGAAGAAGTTTGCAGCTAGAGTAAAGAAAAAGCAAAAGTTTGACCATTCATGTGGGTGAGTGGCTGATATCATGACAAAAGTGGTTGTATGTGGCTTCCAAGATTAGGTGATAGAAAGAATTGAGACATTCTCTTGCCTGGGTTTTGGCTATGATCCAAAAGATGTAGTCTCAAAAATGTAATTCTGGAAAAATAAATTGAAAAAAAATTTAAAATATATTTATTTACATTTTTAAAACGGGATTTGTTTGAGAAACATTATATCTACAGAACATTTTATAGGCCACTTTGTACAATAAAATAGGCAATAATGACATACACATTTTTGCAAGCATAAGGGCTCAGGTATACTAATGATGGTTGCACAGGTATAACAGTTATGAGTAGATAAACCATATTCATAAAGAAATAGGTCAAAAAGCAAAATGTATAAATGCCTATCACCATGGCTAGTAATTGTGTGCACTCGGCTTTATCATTGCAGTCTTCCACACCACTGTGGAAGAATCATTTTGATCAGTCTCATTGAAAGACAACCTAAGTCTTTCATTGAGAGTGATCAAAAATGTCTCGAGATTTGTTTGAGAAACATTATATCTACAGAACACTGCCCAGGTTTGGGGCCTGCCCCACCTGATGCTAGGCGGGACTAGGGGCTGCATGCTGGGACTCTGGCTGGCTCCCAGTAGGCGTGGTAGCCAGCTATGGCTGGTGGGCATGGAGCTGTGTGGCTTAGTGTGGGTAGGGCCTGGTGAACAGAGGCATAAAGGGCTTGGGGGGTGGGCTGCTCTGCAGAAGCATACTAGGGGTGGAGGAGGACACTATGGCTGGGGGATGGCTGCCCAGCATCAGCATGCATGGGTTGCTCTGAAGCATGGGGGCACACACTGGCTGCGAGGGGTAGTGAGCCATGGGCTGCATCATGGCAGGCTGGCCTGGGAACTGCTGAGGGTTGTAGGGGACGTAGGAAGAATAGGGCATGGCAGACACCAGAGGCAGGACAGCAGCCACAGAGGCCTGCATCATTGGCATGGCTGAGGCTGGCTGGCATTGGTCTGAGCTCTGTGGAAGCAAGGAGCCTTTTGCTTGCCAGTACTTTCCCTGCTGCCTAGGCACTGAATTGGATGCAGGATATGGATACATCTGAGGTGCCCCACAGCTGGTCCTATGAGGTATGTAGGATATGTGCTAAGGGCTGTATAGCCTACTCTGGCCTGCTGTCAGCACTGGGATGGAGGGAGTTGAATGAATCTGGGGCCCTGGAGAAGTTGGGGTACTGGTGGATTTATTCACAGATAGCAGAGGCTTTGTGTGATTGAACTCCTTGGCACTGGGGTTCCACGTTTATTTCTTTACTTGTTCAGCAACAGGGCCCTCATCCTTGTCCTCTCCTTTGATGAGGTCCATCAGGGGTGCTACCGGTTTGGCTTGGGCAAGGTGGTGAGGTCTGCTCTGACTCCTCAGTGCCTCCTGCTAGTGCCAGAGGTGGTTTGTCCTCTTTATCTGATATAGACTCTGTCTTGGAGGAGACAGGGGACCCCATTGTCTCTGAAGTCAACAGAGCATCAGCCTCCTTCTCCTTTCCTTTGGCCTCCTCCTTGAAGATCCCAGGAGGAAAAGGATCCAGGCTGTTTTCAGAGGAGCTGCTGGGCAGAAGCTTAAACTGGGCCCCAAACTTTCATTCTGAAGGCAAGGACTTTCTCAGCTATCCAAGCCAGCTCCTGTAGCTCGTCAAGGCAGAGGGATACACATCCCCTCCCTGGATGCCAGGCTGGGGCTCTCTTGACCAGAGCCCTGCCGCTAGACCGCACAGTGCTTCTCCTCTTCAGTATGCCCATCGTCGTTCTCCATGGCGATCCACAGGCAGTACTGGTTCAATCAAACTGAGCTTGATTCAATATCTCAAGCCAGCTGGGCTGCACGCAGCTGTCGCTTATGAAACTCTTTCAAGTTGTCCTTTTCTAAGGGCACCGTATAAAAAGAAAGACTGCTATCATAGGTGGCCTTCACACCGTAGTTCTCCTCATTGAACTTCAACATTTCATTGGGGTCCCATCCACTGGACGTGTCGGACTTGAGGTCGTAGTCGTCGCTGCTGCTGTCACCCCCCCTCCCATCGCCGAAGCGCCTTCTCTTTGTGTTCCCCATTCACTTTCAAGTTCTTGGCAATGGTTGCGTGGCTGAACTTGTCTTTAGTAGCGTAGCTGAAGTCAACATTTCGGAAGAGAACGAGCATGACATCCCTTGGCTTCAACACCGTGGTGTCCACGATGTCCTCCCGACGAGGGCCCCCTGCTGGCTCAGATGCTCTCGGCTGCATAGCATCCGCTGCTAGTTCAAACTTCGAGCTCAGCGTCTTGAAGATACCCTCGTAGATGGCGCCATTTTTCACCTTTACATCGCAAGTGAAGCCCACAACAGCTGTGAGGAAATGCAGCATTCTGGAATTTTTGTAGATGCCTTCAAACAAGGTGACTGGCGGGGGTCCGTTTCCTGTCCTCTGTCCCCTGGTGTTGCCGATGTTGGCAGCTCCCAGCCTCTCCTGGTGCTGCTGCACCAAGAAGATGCCTTTGGGTTGGGAGGGCTGTTGTGGCGGCTGAGGCTTCAACATGATGGCAGCAGGAAGAGGTATTAGAAGAAAGGGAAGGAGAGAGGGGGCCGGGGCTGGAGCCCTGCAGGAGAGTGTGGGAAGCAAGGGGATTCTGGTAACCGGGCTGCCATTGGTGGGCAGGGGGAGCCCTTCGGTGTCAGGGATGGACAGAGCCACAATTATTATTTATATTTTGAAATGTTGATGCAGGATATTTTCGCTCCTTAGTTCAGCTAAATCCCAGTTCTTGTCTCACAACCAGGAAAAATTAGGCATGCAGACACGTTGAAAGGTGAGGAGGGCGGAATTTATTAAGTGAAAGGAAAGTTTTTGACAAAAAGAGGAGTCCTGCATGCACATTTCCACCTCACAAATTGAATGCCAGAACACCACACGTGAGTTGAAGAGTCCAGGCTCCTCCCCGACGTAAGCACGAATTCCTGGTGGCTCCACCCCATTCCCCCAGTGCATTTGGGCCTCCAGTCCCTTGCGGGCATGCCCAGGCAAGACCCTGTGTAGGTTCCCTTATCGACACAAAAACATCTGGCATAAACACTTGTGGGACAGGTAGGAGATTCTCTAGGGACCCTTCCTTATCTGCATAGGCATTTGTTGGCCTTGGCATCTATCAGTATTGCATCTTGATGAATAACTGCTTTTTTTCTTTTAGGCATGGCTCTCCTTGTAGAGTATGTTCCCATTCATTTCCTTATCTTTCTTTTTTTATTTTTATATTTTTCTTTATTTTTTAATCTTTTCCGTTTTACAGGAGATGCTCATTTAACAACCAGACGCTACATTTGAAAGGAAAAGTTCCAGGGATTATCCCCCCTCCCTTTCTTGTAAGGACAGATTTCTTCTACATAGAATAGCTATGTAGCAATAGCCAAAAAAAAAAAAAAGGCCAGGAGACCAGCCTGAGCAAAAACATTGGAAAAATGAGCCCACTTCCTTAAAAAAAGAAAAGAAAATCCGGGCGCGGTGGGTGGCGCAGGCTTCACACCCAGCCCAACTAAGTGAAGCCACATCATTGTCTGGGGCAAATACCTAGAGTACATTGTCTCACCAAGGAAATCGAGTATAGGGACACAAGAAGTGGCTTAAGAGTAGAGGTTTAAAAGGCAGCAGAAACAGAAAGGAGAACAGCTCTCTCTCTTGCAAATGAGGGGTTTCAGAACTGGACTTCCAGCTCACAGCAGAGCGCACTGGATTTTGTAGACGGGCTTGAGGAGGCAGTGCCTGATTTACGTAGGGCCCACAGATTCGTTGAACCAGGTGAGACATTTACATAGTGCGCTGGGAAGCTGGCTACCCCACTCTAATATATGCAAATGAACTTTCCACTTGGCCGAGCCATGTTGTCTTTTCCCTACTGTACAAGCGGTTGGAAAGGAAAAGGGAAGGTGGAGTCACCATTTTGAACATTCCTAGTCCCAGGTGGCCTTTTCCTGTTGGCACAGCTACTGGCATTCAACCCTACAAGCTTCTAGCTTGCTTGTCTATGTCTGCAGCTCGATTTTACTGGCTGCTCTTTGTTAGAAAAGAGAATAATTTGGGGGTGCTTTTCATTAAAAGGAAAACATTGCCGAGGACTTCCTTACACTCACTATCTGTCTAAATAATTTCTTCTAACCTCATATATCATCGGGAGGCTGGGGCAGGAAGTCTGAGGATGTAGTGAGGTAGGATCATTCCCACTACACTGCAGTTTTGGTGACAGAGTGAGACCTTATCTCAACAACAAACTTTGGTTTGTGTCATTTGAGATGCAAAAAGAAAGAGAGAGAGAGTGAGAGAGAGAGCCAGTGAGCATCCAATAAAATGTTAAAATTCTCTAATGATGCAGCTATGAGAAAAAATGATTTTATGGCTTTTACAGCAACATGGATGGAGCTGGAGGCCGTTATACTTAATGAACTAACTTCAAAGCAGAAAAACAAATCTTGCACTTTCTCAGTTGTAAGTGGGAGCAAAACAGTACTTACACATGGTCATAAAGATGGAAATAATAGACATTCAGGGCTCTGGAAGGGAGGAGAGTGGGAGGAGGCAAGGGATGAAAAATTACCTGTGGGATACAATGTTCGTTATGTAGGTATTAGGTACATTGGAAGCCCACTTTCCACCAGAGTTCAGTACGCTCATTTAACAAACAAGCACATGTACCTGAATATTACAAAAAAAAAAAACAGACAAATTGCTGTATGTAAGTAGCAAATGCAAATCAAGACCCTTTCAAAAAAAGGGATGTAGAATAAGGAAAAAGACTTATTGATCCTCTTGTGATTGATCGAGACTTTACAGCTAGATTGATCTGTATTCTAGGACTAGAAAAAATCTTCAGTGCACAAACTTAAATACAGCAATGCTTTTACAGTATTTAAAATCACGAGAGATTAGGAGCACTTCACTCAATGGGGCTTGTACCACTAGAAAAGAAAGGCAGGTTCGTGAGATTGATCTGTCTCAAAATTTTTGTTTTCAATCCTTGTATTATCACTGTGCATCTGGACTGGAACATGGACTGGAAGGAATCAATACATAAAAAATATGACCAAGCCGGGCATGGTGACTCATGCCTGTAATCCCAAAAGTGTGGGAGACCAAGGTGGGAGGATTGTTTGAGCCCAGGACTTGGAGCCTGGATAACAGAGTGAGAACCTAGTCAAAAATAAATTAATTAATAAATAACAATAATAAAAAAAGAAATGACGACAATAAACAAGTGGGAGTGAACAAAGGTAAAAGGTAATTAAGATCACAGTTAATTGTACTTAAAGAAAGTTTCTCTTTAGCCTATCTCTGTCTATCTCTCTGTCTTTCTGTCTCTCTCTGCCTCTGAGAAAGGCTCTCCCTTTGTCACTCATGCTGGAGGGCAATAGCTCCATCACAGCTCATTGCAAGTCTCAACCTCCCCGGCTCAAGTGATCCCTGTAGTCCCAACTACTTGGGAGACTGAGATAGAAGAATCACCTGAGCCCAGGGAGGTCAAGGCTGCAATGAATCATGATCGTGCACTTGCCCCCAATTCATTTTCTATGTGGTGCTGCTCTTTCTGAAATTCTTCTATGATTCAATATACATTCACATGAGCATTCCCTTTTAAATTTTCCCATCTTCTGTACCTTGCTTCTGTGTTGTCTGGAGTGCTCAGAATCTGTTCTGTATGCACTTATAGACCACTAATTTGGCAGAAATGACATTGGTGACGGAACAGGAAAACTGTTGTGTAAGTGTTTTCCTGTCCTACTGTGCACATAATTATTTTTGAACGAGTCAGTAATTTTACTGGCTTCTCCAGGCAAATGCAGAGAAAGCTATTAAAAGCTCCTGGAATTTCACAGCTGGAAAGAATGCCAATGCAGACAAATTTTTAAACTCAAGTTTTTGTCATTGCTGTATCATGCCACCAATCCACTCATTTGATTTTTTCTTCTTTGCCAAAATCATCGGACTGATTGGAAAAAACAATCTTTATTGATAACATCTTGAAATTCACTTTTAGAAGGCTTGTTCATATCTAATTCTGAATCTGTCATTATGGTTTGGGAGTTTAGTTGGAATCATTTTTTTTTTTTCTGGAAACTCTGCCAAATCTTCAAATAAGCATTGATAAAGTGCTTCACTTTTTCCAGTCATAAATAAATAAATGAATGGGTACGTTCTGAAATTTTCAGATCCAGTAGGGCCATGAATAGTACCTAGTTGATTAAAACACAGTGGGGACAGTTTTGAATGTGCCATCTCATAACTTACAGGTCACATTTGGCAGGCTTCCAAATTAACTGCCTGGGGAAAGTCTTGTGGTTCACAGCTTACTTCCTGTACTGGAGTAAAGAATTATATTGTTAGTCCCTCAAATCTTACCGTGAGTTACTCAAACTGTTGATATACTGATTAATAAATGACTTACTGACATTGAAAAGGACACTGGTTTGTTTCTAAATCATAAAGTTTTGCTGATTTGTTTCTGAATCATGAAGTTGAATTGATTGTCTTGTACCTAGAACGTTTTAGCCTGTATGTTGATATCTGTAGCCAATGATGGTAACCTCTGTATTGTACTCTCCAAAGATAAAGGACAAGTCCAATATGAGAATTCCCTATCTCTTCTCCTAAACTTCCTTATAAAAAAGCACTCCAACTTGTAACAGACTTTGGAACATGCTCAACTTTGTTAGGTCTTCCATGTCCATCCTCACATTCAGCTTCCAATAAATTTTTATCAAATTATTTCTGCCTCAACAGGCTTAATTTCGGTCAACACATTCATGAGCCAAAGTGAAGCATGTGCTAGTTTTTCTGTGGTACATTTTCAGTAGAAAAAGCCTATCTTCTTCAATAGTCAAATCCCTAACCAAGAATAGGTCACTGTTTAATTTTTTGTAACACTGGAGGAATCTCAAAATCAGCAAATGTCTTTGGTTCAGAAGGTCTGTGAACTTGAATTCTTTTTATTCTCTGATGCATTTTTTAAAAAGGCAAGCATGGCGTTATGTGTGAAGGGGCAGGAGTAGTACACAACTGAATAATCCGGCAGGAGAGATTTCTTTTCTTTTCTTTCTTCTTTCTTCCTTTCCTTTCTTTTTCTTTCTTCTTTTTTTTCTTTCTCTCTCTCTTTCTTTTTTTGAGATGGAGTCTTGCTCTGTGGTCCAGGCTGGAATACAGTGGCCTGATGTCAGCTCACTGCAACCTCTGCCTTCATGGGTTCAAGCGATTCTCTTGCCTCAGCCTTCCGAGAAGCTAGGATTACAGGCACGTGACACCACATCCGGCTACTTTTTTATTTTTAGTAGAGATGGGGTTTCATCATGTTGACCAGGCTGGCATCGCTCTAATTACCTCAAGTGAGCTATCCCCCTTGGCCTCCCAAACTGTTGAGATTACAGGTGTGAGCCACGTCACCCGGCCTCTTATATTTTTTCCTTGCCTTTTCATTTCTTTGATGATCTTTGAAAAACTAGAAACAATTCCCCACGCAATCCACTCAGACTCAGAAACTAATCTCCTCTGGAAATACACAGACACACCAAAAATAACGCTTTATAAGGTCTCTAGGCATTCCTTAATCAAGTTAAATTGACACCTAAGATTAAGTCCACAAGTCTACCGCTTGTCAGCTTGGCATCATATGCATCTCCTTAAACCACACTTTGTTTCCAAATAAGGA